TCCGCACCTTCCTGGGCGTCGTGGTGCCCACCCTGCTCTCCATGTTCAGCGTCGTGCTCTTCCTGCGCCTCGGTGAGTGCCCCCAGGCCGCCCCGGTGCCCCAGGTCAGCTCCCCGGCACCCCTGTGCCCCCAGCACTCCCAGCTGAGCTCCCCGGCGCGGCACCCTGGGCCTGGGAGCCCAGTGCCCCCAGTTCATCACCCCTGTGTGTCCCCCCACCATGGCTCTTGCCTGATCTCCCCAGTGCCCTGAGCCTGTGACCCCAGTGCCCCCAGTTCAGCTCCCCAGCATCCTGAGCCTGGGAGCCCAGTGCCCCCAGTTCATCACCCCTGTGCCCCCCCCGCCCATGGCACTTGGCTGATCTCCCCAGTGCCCTGAGCCTGTGACCCCAGTGCCCCCAGTTCAGCTCTGTGCCCCCCCATGGCTCCCAGTTCATCTCCCCAGCCACCTGAGCCTAGGACCCTGGTGCTGCCCAGGCTGGGAGACTGGTACCATGCGTGCCCCCATTGTCTCTCCCCTTGAAGACCCCCCGGCTGCCCCTGCCCGCCAGAGCCTGGCCCTGTCTGTAACCAGCCCGCCAGGCATCACTGCCCCCCCTCCCACCAGTGACTGCCAGGGCCACAGTGCCCAGCAAGCCCAGCAGGACAGCCCAGCCCCTCAGGGATGCTCCCAGACCCCAGTGGTCGGCCCACAGCCCCCATGGAGCACCCAGTCTCCCCCACTGCCCCAGCATCCCAGCCCTCCCCCCAGCTCAGGTCCCCACGGTTTCCCTCTGCTTCCTGTCTGCTCTCGCTCCCCGAGCACCCCCGCTCCTCTGGCCCCAGCACCTCCACCGGGCCCCCGCCCGAGTGCCAGCTGCCTGCATTTATCGTTCCTGTGCAAGCCGCACATCCTGCCTCAGCCCCAGGCCTGGGGCCCTGTCCTCACGTGAGCTGCTTTTTCCCAGGGCCTGTTTGTGCCTGGAGTTCCTGTAAGGATAGTGATGGTGGGGGCAGGGCCAGGCTCGCGCCGAGCTCCCCGCACGGTCGTTGAGCACCGAGTGGTCTGACTAATGTTTCACTCCTGCTGGAGGCGAGCGCGGGGCAGGACGCTGCAGCGCCTGGGTTTGCAAAGCCGGGGCTGCCTTGGAGGGTATCGCCTTCCTCCCAAGATGGTGACCATGCAAACGCTGCCCTCTGAGCCCCGGGGAGAAGCAAAAGGAGGCCCAGGCCTCGTGTGTCTCTTAGGCAGGTGGAGGAGTGATTCTGGGCAGAGGGAGCTATGGCTCCCGGCCTTGCAGGGAAATGTGGAAGTAAAACTGCTGCTCTCTTTCACTTTCTGGCTGCTGAGTTGGCTGCCGAGAAGCCGGGGGCGCAGGGCTAACTGCTTGCTGAGAGCCCGGCTCTGAGCTTCTTTAAAGTTTAACTCGCAGTGTCTGCACACACCTTCCCCAGCCACGGGGCTGTCTGGATGCCAGCCCGGCTGGGGGGTGCGGGCTGTTTGCTGGGAGCTGCTTGTGCCCTCTGCTATCGGGACGCCATCTGGATTCAGTTCCTCTATGCCAAGCTCCCAGCTGCAGCCCTGTCTTACCACGGTGTGGTGATGGGGCCGTGCCCTGCACGCGCTCATGTGTAGGATGGAGGTGTGGACCTGGCCCCTGTTCTACCTGTGCGCTGGAAGGTGCTGGGGCTCCCTGGGGATGCCCGAGGGCAGAGCTAGCCCTGCAGGGTCCTTGTTGCTGGTGGGACATGGCTCTGAGTGGCATGGCACAAACAGGCACAGCAGGATTGTGACCCTGCGGGGTCATGTGCGCAGACATGCTGTTTGGAGACTCATCTACCCCCAGCCTGGCCTGCCCTGGTCCTTGTCCCTTCAGGGCCTGCCTTGCCCAGGACTTGGGTCACCTCTCCCTCGTGTCCACCTTGGCCTTGGTGATGCTGGAGGGTTTTGCAGTAGTGGGAACCCTAGCATGCAGCCCAGCAGCTTCCAGCACCGGAGCCTTATCCACACCAGGGATATGCTGGGGGAATTCTCTGGGCTTTCCTGTGGTTGAGCATCTGTCTCTTCTTATGAAACCATGAAATTCCTTTTGACCCTGGTCTTCGCCCTTGTTTAAGTCTGGATTTTGTAGGAAGTCCTGGGCAAGCCATGACTAATTTCCTGTGTCACAGTCCCCCTGGCTAAGCAGCCTGTAAGGCTGTCGATGGCAGCTGTAGCCGGGCTCGGTGCTGGCTGGCTGGTGCTCTGCTCTGGTCTGGGGGGCTCCTTGCGTTCCTCCCTGTGGGGTTGAGTGAGGACACTCCAAGCTGTTGGTCTTAGTTGCCATTGCAGCTGGACCAGGGGGGTCCTGGGGGCTGGCCTGGAGGCCCTGGGGTCCCGCGTGGCTGGTGGGAAGATGATGGTGGTGTGACTGGAGCAGTGCTGAGAGGAGCCGTGCCTGTGCATCTGGAGTCGGGGCCTGGACCGGCCAGTGGGCATCTTCCACGCGGCTGCCTCTGGGGTGATTGGCATGGCAAGCCGTGATGAACCGGGTAGGGGTGGCTCTGCGCCCGTCCCCGTGCGCTGGTATCTCTGGGAGGTGGCCCAGGCCCCTAGTACTGGATTCTCTGAGGCTCCCTTGACCATTGGTCCCCGATGTCTACAGCTGGGTGCCTCGAAATGGAGGCCCCCAAAAGTGCCTCATGATGCTGGAGGCCGCGGCACTGGGCTGCAGGGCGTTGGGGAGGAGGGGAGCAGCGGCAGGGCGTTGCTCCTTGGCAGCTGATCGGTCCCACATGTTGCTGTCTGGTGAATTCATCAAGCCCTGTGTAGCACAGGCCACAGCACAAAGGCGCCAGTGTCCCGGGCCCTGCTGTGCCCGGTCAGGCTGGGGGTGGGGGGTCCCCTCTGCCTCTCCTAGGTGCTGCACCTCCTTAGTTCCCCTTTGGGGCCGTGTTTCCTGCCGCAGGTCCAACTTCCTCCTGTGACGGTGCTGAGCTCCGTGGAACAGGCGCCGGCCTAGCTACGTGCACGATAGAGGTTGGGCTGGCCTGGCTGGTTGCCTCTTGCAAGGCCTTTCCACGCTGGGTCGTTAGCTCCACTGGATTCAGCCTTGCTGCCCCCGTGTAGGGGGATCCCCACCTTGGTGGGTGACCGCTTGTAGCAGGGATGGAGAGAAGCTGCCCGGGCCCCAGAGGCGAGTGTCGGAGAGGCCAAAGGGGCGAGGCGGTGGCTGGGGAAGACTGGGAGCCCTTGGCAGGCTGAGTTGGGAGGAAGGATTATGGGGGTCGTATTTGAAAGGCTGCCACAAAGGCAAAGGAGAGTGGCCAACACCCAGGGCAGGTTGCGAGGCTGGGGGTTAGCCGCCATGCATGGGTTTCCATTCAACCACAGGAAGCACGTTGATATGTTGGAGCAGGAGTGCCGTGTTGGAGTGGGTGCCCCCAGCCAGCCATGGGTCTCCAGCCTTGGGTGGGGCTCAAGCAGAGGTTGGACGGGCATCTGCATGGTCAGGAACCAGGCGTCCTGTGTGCTGGCCTCGGAGGTGGGAGTGTGGGAGCTCCTTGCTGGCGCCAGGACTGAATCTCCGCAGGCCACCGGGTCTGATGCCCCAGCGGGTAGCTGTGATTCCACCTGGCGGAGGGTGAGCGGGCAGCATGCACATCCCCTCGCCCCTGAACATGCACACACTGGTATCCACACTGCATTTGTATCTACCAAGCTGTGCAAACAGTTCTCCCTGCCTCCCCTCCACCCCTCCTGCCCTCAAGGTCTGAGGCTGTCTGAGGACAGGCTGCGCTGGCTCTCGGTCACCTCTCAAATTCCTCCGGTGAGTGTTAGAGCCGGCCCTAGCAGCACTGACTCAGTGCTGACTGCAACACGACTGGCCTGGGGCTGTCCTCCCTCTCCTTCCACTCCTTCGGTACACAACACTACTGGGCAACCAGCGTGGCCTCCTCCCTTCCTAGGCATCTCTGGTGCCCTCCCACGGTGCGGCTGGGCTCCTGCTGGGGTCTCTGATCGGAGCCTGGCCTCCTCCACCCCGCCGGCAGCGCCCTGCATCCCAGAGCTCACAGGTGACTGCTGAATTCCCCAGGACCGCACAAGCTGCCCTGCCCAGGCCCAGCCTCTCCAGCAGGGACGGCTAGGCCTGCTGGCTCTGTGTCTGCTCCCGTCCCTGCTTGGTGCTGGGGCAATCTCTCCCCCGGCTTGGGCACCGGGATGGCATTACTCCCTGGGCATCTAGAGCTGGGCTGAGAAAGACACATGCCAGGCTGAGGATGCCCGAGCCCTCATGGACTGCTGTGTTGCTGTTGTCAGTGGGCCTGCCACCAGGGTTTCCCACACAGAGCCTGTGTGCAGGGAGCCAGGAATTAAAACCACCTTGTAACGCTGCATCCTGGCCCCGGGCTGCCTCCTGTCCTGCAGCCTTCGACTGTCGGAGCGCAGAAGAGTCAGGCATGCAGGGCCGTCGGGAGCTCATACCGAGTCCAGGCCCTTGCTCGAGGCAGACTTAGCTCTGGCTAACTCATCCCAGCCCAGTGCCTGTCCAACCCGCTCTTGAAAACATCCAAGGATGGAGATGTCACAGCCTCACTGTGTCCCAATCATAGAAAATGAGGGTTGGGAGGGACCTCAGGAGGTCACATCTAGTCCCACCCCCTGCTCCAAGCAGGACCAGCCCCAATGGCATCATCCCAGCCAAGGGTTTGTCTACCTAGGTCTTAAAAACCTCCAAGGATGGAGAGTCCACCAGCTCTCTGGGTAGCCTGTTCAAGTGCTTTGCTACCCTCGTAGTGAGAGAGTTTTTCCTAATATCTAACCTCAACTTCCCTTGCTGCAACTTGAGCCCATTGCTCCTTGTTGTGTCACCAGCCCCCGCTGAGACCAGTCCATCTCCATCCTCTTTGAAGCCATCCTGCAGGGAGTTGAAGGTTGCTATTCAATCCCCCCTCGGTCTTCTCTTCTGCAGATTAAATAAACCCAGTTCCTTCAGCCTGTTCTCACCAGTCATGTCCCCCAGGCCCCAAACCATTTTCATTGCCTCCCTCTGGACTCTCTCCAATGTGTCCACATCCTTTCTGTAGTGGGGGGCCCACAACTGGACACAGGACT